TCAAGACTGAACTGATTTCTGCGTTTTCCTAGCCATAGTGCTCAGGTGAGCGATGTGGCCCCTGGGCCTCTTGTTTTTCAATGATGTAACATGTAAAGACAACAAATATAATGAACTTGATATTGCAACTTTCACTAATCTCTTTATGATATGTTGTAGTCCGAAAAAGAGCAGTTCCGTATGACATTTCATGGAATGGGCATCTGGAACAAAATGACGGCAGGATGTCTTCACGCATGCCAAGTCGCATGCGGAGCGGAAGCCGTTACAGCAAGGCTGACATTCCGGAAGAGGAAGATTACTATGACGACGAGGGATACGAAGAAGATCCGGGGACTACTGGACATCGTTGAATTCCAAGATATGTGCCAAGAATTTCACACTTTCCCAGAAAATGTGTTGCATCATCAACTTGGTGATTCCGTCTTCAGCCTTAACTGTTACTGGTTGAAGAGTATTTGTCACGCCAGGTGCTTATGCAGTGTCGATAACTAAAATGTCCGAGATTTAGTTAAACTAACTCGTAAAATGTTTTTGAAATCAATACATGAGAGTTGAATTTAATCAATGGTGATCTCTCTTCTTGCAAAGATTTCAACTTAGTGCAATATCCTGAGGATATCTTTCGAAGAACCAAGATTTGTTGTGAAATGAGATCGGTCCAAATACTTGTATATTCACGTTTCAAGTGTAAAATAAATAAATAAATATTATCCACGAAGTCTGACTTTTATTGCAGCGGGATTAAATTAAAGAAAATATAAAAAAAAAATAATTAAAAAAAATACCCGCTTCTTCTCGGTTACAAGGTAAATAGAATCCGCAAACACTATGTTTACATCGTACTTCACAAAAAAATTTAAATTCTCAGTTACCCTAAACCGAAAACTTTAAATAGATTGCTTAGTGTACATAATGTCTATTCATGCTCATCAAAAAGGAAAAATCATTCACAATGAATTGAATGAATAAAAGTGGGTTCACGTCACCGGAACTTTCCTATGTCGTACTTTCTTGGTGGGGGCTTTCAGTGGAACTTCTTTCTCTGAATGGTTGTACTCTCTAAGTGACGTACAGAAATATTTGACCAGAATACAATGTTTTTTGTTAATTTGGAGTAGTCAGATGAAGATAAAGATTGCATAATTATAAGAAAGGTAAGGTTGTAATTTGTGATTTCGTGGTCTGGAATCCCAGTTAGATTACCAGGTTCTAAAAGAAAATTACTCGAATTTTTTTCTGAAAAAAATTATTTTCCCCTCTTCATACATCTAGGATAGAATCTTTCCTATAACAAATTGCGTTTGGGAACTTCACACAAAGCTGTTAAAGCTGAGTTATTGCTCTTTAAACAGGTAATTAAATGAACACACTTCGGATTAATGCTCGTTTTAGTTTGCATAATGGAACAGGATGATCGCTGAGAACTTAGCAAGCACATTCTATAGACTTAACCTTTATAGCTTTGGTTAAAATGGCACACATAACAACGTAATGCACAGGCACATAGTATTGTTTTTTGAAAGGGGGGCACCGTCCAGACTGGCATTTTGCCTCGTTGCCTGTCCTGACACAACCTCTCGGTTGTAAATCCTTGGTGCTCTTGACTCGTAACAACGTAATGTACAGGCACATAGTATCGTTTTGAAAAGGGGTGGGGACAGCCAGAACATACATGAAAAGATCTTTGACAACCAAAATAAAAAAGGAAAATTGTCCAACTCGAATTTCCTGTTTCGTGTGTGTTGGTGTACATGTGTGTGTGTGTATGGGGTATGTGTGTTAGGTTTCACCTTCCTTTCTGTTCACCCTGCCCCCCCCCCCCCTCCCCAATACGTGCATGGTGTATATTTGGTATAACAATACGTTCTTTCACAGTGAAAGGATTGTCCTGTTAGATTTCTTAAGTTTTTATGGGGATGAAGGTTGGCGTGAACATACTATTTGTATATCAATTCTAATTTTGTTACCCCCTTTTCATACGTATTTCCCATTTCTTGAGACTTAAGGAGGCTGGGGGGTCAACAAATTAACCACAAATTAACCACCAGATTTAACTTAATTTTTTAGATATGATATCTTAAGGATGGATTCTTCTCATATGTCTTATAATGGCAGAATCTTGATTTTCTGAATACTCAATATTCAGACTGTTTACACTCTTTTAACATCCAAAAACTTTGGTGTCATCGGCCTTGATTTTCAGCCAAGGTCATTTGAAAGTCAGTCTTAAAAATAGTACTTTTACACAGAGAAGTTTTGAAATTTATGCATATGAATAAATTTTGCTGACTGAAAAAATATCTTTCACAATAAAATTAAAGTTGTTACTTATTTTTGATGACTAATTCATATGAAATGAGCTGGTGAAAAGATAACACGAAATCCTTTATATTCAATAAATATATTTAATCCGAATTTCCTCGATATTTTTTCAAAATTCTCAGTTTTTATGAATTCACATGAAATTTCATCTCAATTTTTACAATTGACCATATAATGTCAAATATTTAGATTTCTGTCTGATGAATATTCAAAGGTTCAAGATTAATTTACAAGGTAAAAAAGATATAGTAATCAGGCAAATTATCGAAAAAAAAATTAGCCCGAATTTGCTCTATACTTTCTGAAATCTTCATTTTTGCAGAGTGTTTTAAATGTCTATAAAAAAAATTTTAATCCCCAAAAACATATCAATTTGGTGTAATTGTGACATAAATACATTCATTTCTCCCAGTTATACATTCTATTTTTATGGTATTTTACACTAATGATATTCAAAATATTCATTTCGAATTTCCTCTGTCATTTTATTCTTATGAATGTTATGTTTGACAATTTTATAAAATACATCAATTTTCTAGTGGCAATTACAGAAAAATTATCACATACATTCTTCACATGCACAGGACTAATTCAAAGCAACTTGACCTTTAATATAACCAGGAATAAATAATAAACCTTCCAAAAAGTTATGAGAAAAATCATACATAAAATTTTCATAGACTGGAAAAGATTTCAATACATTATTTATGACATAAACATGAAATCAAAATACATGTATAGTGAACATGCCATTCAAAGCTTAATATATGAATATCAGAGGGACTAATATATATGCCTATACATGTATATGTAGTTATATACATATAGGTCCCTGGTATTATGTTATTATTGGATATTTTACATTTGTAAACTGAGTTTTGAAAACAACAAGCAAATTCAAAGAATTGTGATCCCCCGCTTTCGATGTCTTAGTGGATGGGATGCCATTATTTATGGCATATTTTAACTGTCTTGTTTGTTTGTCCTGTCTTATCTGTGCATCATACAAAAAAACATAAATTATTGAATTAATAACAGTTATGGCAAAGACTATAGCTTCTCAAAACTACATCAAACTTCAAGATCAACTTCAAGATCAAGGTCATGAGGTCAAATATCATAATAAAATCCAAAAGATCTTCTCACAAGTGATGCACATGTAAAAAAAAATATTAGAAACCTGAGTATACAATCAGAAAGGTCTTGAAACAGGTAATGCACATGTCAAATGTAAATACCATCTCTTCTCTCAATCAAATGTTATTAGCAATGATAAACTTTTTAAAAATTAGGTCAAACTTCAAGGTCAAGGTCATGGGATTAAAAATCATTGTACATTTGGAAATGCTTGTCACAGGTAATGCACTTGTCAAATATGAATGCCCTATCTTTGCTCCTTCAAAAGTTAGCAAACTGATGAAATGTTTAAAAATTAGGTCAAACTGGAAGGTCAAGGTCACGGGGTCAAATATCATAGCATATTCAGAAACATTTTGACACAGGTAATGCACTTGTCAAATATGAACACCCTATCATATGTCATTCAAAAGTAATCACCAAATATAAAATTTTTGAAATTTAGGTCAAACATGAAGGTCAAGGTAAAGGGGTCAAAAATTATAGCATGCTTGGAAACACTTTGTCGCTACTAATGCACATGTTAAATATGAAAGCCCTAACTATTCTAAATCAAAAGTTATAAGCAAAGATAAAAATTTTGAAAAGTAGGTCAAACTTCAAGGTAATGGTCATGGGGTCAAAAATCATAGTACACTTGGAAAGGTATTCTTACAGGTAATGTTCATATTTAATATGAAAGCCCTATCTTTTCTCATTTAAATTTAATGACCAATTTAAAGAAATGTTAATTTTCTGAAAAGTAGGTCAAAATTCAAGGTCACGGGGTCAAAAGTCATAGTATAATTTCAAAAGGTCTTGTCACAGGTAATAAACAGGCATAATATGAAAGTCCTATCTTTTCTCATTCAAAAGTTATGACCAATTTAAGGTAATGTTAATTTTTTTGAAAAGTAGGTCAAACTTCAAGGCCAAGGCCACGGGTCAAAATTCACAGTATATTTGGAAAGGTCTTGTTACAGGTAATGTACATGTGAAATACAAAAGCCCAATCTCTTCTCACTCAAAAGTTATGGCCAAGGTTAAAGTTTTTGTGACAGACAGCCCAACAGACGAATGAGATTTAATGTCCCCTCTCTTTCGCGAAAGCGAGGGACAATAAATACCTACACACATTTATAAGTATATAGTTTGTCCTCATTGTGATCACATATTGCATAAAATTTGCTGGAGTTTTAAGATAACAAAAAAGCCATCTATGACAATCAAATGCCCTTTGACATCTTTGCCTGAAAATGACATCCTTGAACTTTGTAACAATAATATGCATGCAGCTATCAAACTTAATTTCACATTTAGATGCAAAATACTTATTCAAGGATGAAATTTCTTTTTAAGAATTTGTAGCACAAACATTTATTGATCAGTGTCAATAACTTATATTGAAATGAATTAAAAATTACCTCTTGAGGGTTTCTACTGCAAGTACATGTATGTAGTTCATTTGTAAAAATCTAAATTTTAACCCGGCCACTACCAGCAATTTTGTTCGGCATGCTCTTGCTTAAAATCACCCTTTAACTAAATGATCTAAAGCAGGCACATTTTTATGTATTCCAGAACTGTATTTTAAGATTTTAACTGTATTTGAAAATGTAAAGCAACTGAATACATAGAGCTAGGTATATATCATTTACAAGTTGTTGTAATGCCAGTACATGTAAATCTTCACATTGTAATCTAATGAAAGATAATGCTTGAAAAATTCACTCTGGGAGTAAGATTTCAAATCTGAATCAAAGATTTTGTAAAGTAATCACATTCTACAAAGTGTGCACTGTATCGGGTACTTGGGAATCAAATAATTAAACATTATATAATTATAAATAAAACTATTTTTGACTGAAAGTTCCTGAAAAAAATCAAGAATGGAATCATGCAACAAGCAGCAGTGACTATGATAACATGCATTGACTTCCACATTTCTACAAAAACATTTCTTTGATCAGATAAATATGTAATTCCTGCTTCTGATCTGCGATATATTCTGAGAAAATCTCTTTTCCACAGACAGCCATCATTCATTTGATGTGAGAATTTCTTGCTGAACATGTGTCCACCTGATGAAAGTCCAAATTTTTTGTTGACCTATAATTTAAAAAAAAAGTAATATATTTTACATAGCAACACAGATGCTGCATTACATGATAGTTAGATAAAGTTGTGTCCATATTTCTTATACATGTACCTCAATAGTCCATCTGCCAGCACTCCTTGCTCAATCATCCTGCATTCTGACCTCCAGTCTTTTTTCTAGTCTAGGGTAAAGTAGGGTTGATTTTCTCCTAAGAATTAAACATGCACATCCCTTAGACTACTTTTTTTAAATTAATAGAAATTGATTATAAGATTAAACAACTTATCTCATCTGTATTTCATTTATTGATTTAAATGAATGAAGATAGATAATTTAATAGATTCTACCATAGGGTGAGTTAACCATGCATCGGACACATACCTTGCTTCGGACAACTTTAAGCAATAAACTTTCATTGAACCCGAGTCTCCTCGTGTTTTTACTTGTTTCTGTCTTAAAGGGGAAGATTTAAACTTTTTAATGATGCCGATTTTTATTTTCATGTTGTGATAAAAATACCACAAGAATGGCCTTGAAATTACGTCATAGTTTGCATCATCAAAGGGGAGTAACCAGAATTTTACGATTTTGCAATTTTTAGAGTTGTCCTTCTTTTAAATAGATGTCAAAGGAACAGGTCGGACCTAAGTAAAATTTATCAATAATTGATTATTTTACAGAAATTTTTCAAAAATTTTACTTCAATGTTAGAATAATATATTTTAGAGTTGTTTTTAACTAGTATGTTTATTTCACCGTACATCGGACACAAATTAACCATGCATCGGACACTTTCCGATGCATGGGTAATCACTTCCATTTTCATATAAAACCCAAATGACAGCTGTTTTTTACGGAAATAAAAAATAGAAACTCTAAATTTTCAGTGAAAATACAAATAATCGATATATGACGACTAGAAGTGGACTCAATTTATTTCTTTAAACTAGATGATGATAACCCACGAGACAAAGGCGCGAATTGCCATATTACTAGCATTGGAAATCTTTTCTAAGGCGATGTGATGCGACTAAAATCTCTTCACATTTGTGGATCGAAAAAGTCATTCAAATTTAATTAGAAGTTTAATTTTTGAATTAAAGATAAAAATGTTTCGATATCACTCATTTTAAAGCACGGAGATCAAGGTATGATATTTTTCTGGTTAAAATATCGTATGTCCGATGCATGGTGAATATTGTCCGATCCATGGTGAATTCTGACTTATTCCGAAAAAATCTGTTTTTAATGATATTTTCTCAATAAATAGGGCGCGGTTGTGTCAAAAATTTATATTTTAACCACATATTACATATTAAGTTCCATTTTGATAATATTCGGTCGGTAGCGATATCGCTAGAACTTGTTGAAGTGCGAGGGTGTCCGATGCATGGTGAATTCACCCTATGCATAATGTCTTATATTATAATGTATTGGATATAAATAAATAGACATTTTTTATCCTAAAAGTACAGAAAGTTAAAAAAAAAAAAAAAACAATAATATAAATAGTTTTTT